GTAGAGGTGGTAGTAGTGGTAGTAGTAGTAGTAGTAGTAGTAGTAGTAGTAGTAGTCGTAGCAGTAGTAGCAGTAGTCGCAGCAGTAGTAGTAGCGGCTGTAGGAGTCGTTGTGTTTGGGACGATGGTAGCGATTATGATAATGAAGACGAACATGATCATGGGCGTCGATCGCTGGCTGCCACTATACTGGGCAATAGTAACTTTTCTACCACTTCTGAGTAGTGGAGCCATCAAAACGTAAAAAAAAAAAAAAAATCATGTGGCTGCCCAGGTTCAGCAGCAGTTCGGAGCCCGTGAGGTCCCCGGCTGCTGCGACAGGTGCCTTCTGATAGCTAGCCACCCTAAAAGCCTAAACATCTGCGGCCATAACCCTGATCCTAAGACCTACACGAAGCCGAATCACCTCGGACCCTCCACCCTAAGCTAAGAAACCGAAGCCCTACAGTAATCTCTGAACCCGCAAACCCCGATTGCGCCTGCAGCTCGACTCTCGCTTCGGCCCTGCCATCCAATCTGTCGGGCGGAGCCTCCCGGACCAATCCGGCAACTGCCAAAGCGACCGGCATAGCGCTGAGGCCGGCGAGGAGCAGGCTCCCACCTCATTAAGGTGTAGAATTGTAATGAGACAGCTTAGAGTAACCCTTACAGCCGCCCTTACAGTACCCTAAAACCTAAACCCTAAAGCCCTTACAGTGCCCCCTTCTAGTAAGCTTCTTTAGCAACCCTCATGGTCTTAGTTTTGGGGTTTGGTCAGGCCCAGGCCCGGACGGTCCCCTGCAAAAACTGAGTTGTTTTAGGGTCGTTGGCATGCTTCATTAAACCCTGAACACCTAAACCCTAAACCCTAATTTTGTTGAAGGCCCCTTTCTTTTCCGTCTAGCAAGCAGACTGCTCAACGGAAAACCCCACAAAGTTCCGTGTCTGAGGGTTTGCTGAGTCTGCGATGGGAAGGAGAAGACCTTGTGGCTCTCCAAGGGCTTCACACTACAGCAACAAACGAATCAAATGGTCATACTGATACTGCAGGGGCCTTAATAATTAGAACGAATTGTTGGGTTAATTATTGTATAATCATAATAAAGAGCCCCAAAATAGTATAGGTAATTATTTAGGCCCCTAGATTACTGTCAAGACCCCAAGAAGTTTCTCAAGCTTCGCAAGTTTCGATCTAGGATGAACCTCTATCCTGCTCCATCCCTTATGGTAATGAAACATGTAGCGGGCTGAATCATTAGAATAGGGTTTTGGTGGGCTCCTTTAAAGTATGAATATAAAAAGGAATCCTAAGAATAACATTGCTAATTTTTTTTAGGCTTGCATATTACGGTTTAAGGTTTATGGGTTTGGGGTGTAGGCTTTGCCACTCAATCCCGCTCCATGCCTTATGGAAATCATGAAAAAGGCAAAACCAGGCTCTAAGTTTGAAACCCTGGGCCCCTATAGTATGGGCCCTTAAGCCTGGGACCCTTGTATACCTACTACATACCCTATATGGGTGGTTGTCAAAATTATGGGCCCTTTTTGGGGTACCCTAAATATTAGGTGCCGTATTATAATAAGGACCCAAATACCCTAAATAATAGGTGCCGTATTATAATAAGGACCCAAAAAGGGACCATAATTTTGACAACCACCCATATGTACCCTTCAGGGTCCCGAGAATCCCCTAAAGGCCCATATTAGGGGCCCATACTTCTAACCTTAGACAGGCCCAGCGACGCCAGTGCCCCGCCGAAAGAGCGAGCCCTATGCTAACCACGATGGGAGCGAGGGCACCTCCCAAGTTGTTGGAGCAATTCCTTGGGCTTTTCGGGTTTCGCGGGGGCAGGCGGGGGGGGGTGAGGTTTGTAAGGTTATATCATAAGAGTTCTTTCAGGGTTCGTGACGGTTTCTGGAAGGATAGAGGCCCAAAACCCTGGTTTACGGCTTTGGGAGGTGTAGAGTTGGGCATGTTTAGGGTTTAGGGGTTTAGGGGGCAGGGTTTATAGGGTCTACGGTTTAGGGGTTTCGGATTTAGGGTTTTCTTGTTTGCGTATGTTGTTTGGGCGCAGGGGAACGTCTGGGAGCCAGGCCTTTTTCCTTTTCCTGGAGGTTATTAGGTGAGGTTCCGACGGGGCCTGGTTTAGGGGTTTAGGGTCTAGGGTTACCAGAACTCCCAACAAATTGTAACAAATTGCTGTGCGAGGTCTTGAAGTTCGTTCTCCGGTCCATACGGTCTGCTTTCGGTATACGTTTGAACTTTTAACGGTGCGCGAACATTCAATACTCCAATCATCTCCAATCCCCATTTGCCTCCGAGTTCTACAACAATTCAAGTTCCGAAGTGATCATGGAACTTCTCTTAAAGCAATATAGACAAAACATGGCTTGTGTGGTTTCAGGAGTGGGCCCAGGACCTGAACCTACACGTTCAAAGTGTGCGGCAAAGCCAACAGAACTTGACCGACGTGCCCTGAACACAAATCTGCACCACTTGGAGGATCATGGGACTTAGTAAGTAAGGTTATAAGTCCCTTAATTGGGGTTATAAGTGAATTTAAGTATAGTTACCTTATAAGTCCCATGATCCTTTAAGCAAGGCTCCATATCGACCAAAAGAGCCCACGCTCTTTGGGCAAGCACCAGGCACTGATCACCCTGGCGCAGGAGGGGCTACCGAAGCCCTGGAAGAGGCCGTTGAAAGACCACAAGACCGCGAGGGTCAGGGTGAGCCAGCAGGCTGGTAAAAATGCAGCTGCTACGTTGCAGGCGCCCGTCAGCAAAAGGCCTGAGTTGCCCCGTTCATGGGCCGATACAAGCTCAGCCTATCATTGTTTTTGACGCACGTGGTTGTAACATCTCAAACAACTTTACAACGCTGACAAGTTCAGGTGCTGAGGTGCCCATCACCAAACATCGAGATGCAGGAAGATCAACGGTGAAGACGCTCGTAAGAACTTTGCTCAAACCGATTGCGATTTGACCCGCGCTGAGTATCAAACCCAACCTGGCGGTCGGAGGCTGTCCCTGAACCCTAAATTCCGTGAAACCGTAAACCGTTCAACCCTCTTTCTTAGGATCTCGTGCCACTCGAGTGTAATTTGTGGGGAGGTCTGGGATTCTTGGCTGTGGGCGCTTACATAGAAATTGGCTTAGAAAAAACAAGGCAGCGTAGAAGGAAACCGAACACACACGTGCGCACAGGAAACACAACTAAAGCGCCGTTGGTGCGGCTGCTGCTGCTGCTGCTGCTGCTGGTTGTGCTGGTGGTGCCTTTGGGTGCGGGTGGGTGGTGGTGGATGGTGGTGGGTGGTGGGTGGTGGTGGGTGGTGGTGGGTGGTGGTGGGTGGTGGTGCGTGGTGGTGGGTGGTGGTGGGTGGTGGTGCTGGTGCTGGGGCTGCGCGAGGTGGTGGGGAGGTGGCGGTGGCGAAGGCGGCGGTGGTTGCGGTGGCCGCAAGTGGTGGTGGCGGTCGTCGTCATCGTCGGTGTTGTATGGGTGTTGGTGTTGGTGTTGTTGATGTTGCTGTCGTCATTGCTGTTGTTGCTGTCGTTGCTGTTGTTGCTGCTGCTGCTGCTGCTGCTGCTGCTGCTGCTGCTGCTGCTGCTGCTGCTGCTGATGTTGCTGCTGCTGTTGTTGCTGTTGCTGCGGCTGCTTCTTTTGCTTTTGCTGTTGCATATGTTTGTTTCTGCAGTTTTTAGCAGAATCCTAGAAACTGGAGTATCCCGTGGTCTGCCGAGCATGACATGCCTCTGCATCGAAGGCCGACCCGAAGCCGTCAAAGGATTGAACCTTGAGCCAAGCAACTTTCGAAGGTCTAACCTTTGTTGCTGAACCAGGGCAGGTCCGGCGTAGGTCAGCGAGTAGCGGCAAACATAGTACCAAGCATAGGCCAGAATCCTTGGGGCGACGTTTCTAACACAGGGTAATACAAGTGAGAGACTCAGGGGCTGTAAGCAGAAATCCTTCGGAAGCTATCTTTACATAGTATACAGGGTCTATGGCTGAGTAATTCAAGGTTATACGTTTAGAGGTTTTGTGCATGTGATGCTTTAAAAGGTCATGAGGGTTTGTCGCTTAGCAAAAAGATTCAGGATTACAGAGCTTCGAGTCGCACCCGCGAAGGTTCCAAAGAGGGCAGCAGCTGAGGTGAAGCATCTAGGGTCATTTTGGCCATGTCGGAGATTTAATCTTTTTGTTGATGCTTTTGAGGGGTGCTTCGAGTGTTGTGGGGGACTTAGGGTACGAGGAGTTTGGAATTCAAATTACATGGGGTTTCGCATTAACGGGTCTGTGTTAGTTTGGGCTTAATATGTCAGGATTCAATGCTCTTGTTCAGTGAGAAGGACTGAACTTCTTCAGGATTCGGAGTTGGGACCTTAATGACTTAGGGGTTACAAGGCTATGCAGGGGTTGACATAGATTTAGGGTATAATTATACAAGGACTGCTGCGTACAGCTACTGAAGCTATGGTAGCATCCCACACAAATCAAACCCCAAACGATTAAAGCCTGCTCTTGCCAAGACTCAAGCCCGCTATGACGGCTGCTCTGCGTGGTCGGAGATCTGGTGCAAGCCGGCCGCGCTCAAACGCACGACGCCGTGGCGGAGCTCTGGAGGATCTGAATCGGGTCTCTTTTTTATAAGTTTTTTTCAGTAGGACCTTTGTAAGGCTAGCAGCATTGGCAGGGCTTAGGTTTTAGGCTTTAGGGTTTGGTTTCATGTTGAAACAAGCGGCCGCACGGAGTGCATCCACCGTGAGCTTGGGAAAACCTCCGGTTGAGCCGGTCCGCGCCAGGGGCGTGGAGCTGGCAAAGCTTTGGCCAATATCTGCACGCCTCCATGGTAGCCCTGAAGAAAGGCCATCCTTCAAAAAGTGCAATGAAAGCTCCCTGCCACTATGTCAGAGTGTGTTTCTGGGGCCCAAGCGTACGCTGCTGCGTTTGACTCGTGTCTATCCAACTTCGAGGGCTAGCTTGGTACTGTACAACTATTCGCTGCCGAACGGAAGTGAGCCAAAACAATGCAATGTGAAGTCTCTTCAGCTTGATTTATCATGATATACCTACTATATACCCTGTATACACCCTTAAGGGTCCCGAATCCCCCCAAAAGGCCTAAGGGTCCATATTAGGGNNTTAGGGGCCCATACTTCTAACCTTACGGACCGGATGGGGGTCGCTGACCAGGTGCTGACACGTTGAACCTGGACCCCAAGTAGGGCCGAGCCATAATCCTACCGGTAACCCAAACATGCCTACGCGTGTGGGGCTTGGTTTATCATGGAAAACACTCGACCTAGACCCTCCATCGACCCTCTAT